CTGCGCCAAAACATCATTCCGAGGACTTCAACACCGCGAATCAACGTGACTGTTGACCCCTGACATTGATGAACATTGAAACTGCTGCAGACTCCCACTAGCGGCGCTGCGGCGAGAACCACATTTTTGAAAAGGAGCTCTCCATCCGCGAAGCTCTTCCAAGCTTTGGTGACGAATGCGCACGACGCGGAAGCGAGAACCACATTTTGAGAAAGAACCGCCCTCCATCCGTGAATCTCTTGCACATGTTTAAATCTAATGTGCGCGACGCTGAGGCGAGAACCGCATTTTGAAAGCGGACCGCCTTGCATCCGTGAAACTGAAGCAAATGCCAAGCGTCAGGGCTGTAAATTTGTGGGGACGTCTTAAGCGAAACGCCTGGCCCGCCCTTTCGACCAGCCTCGGGGTGCGACAGGGAGAAATTATCGGTAAGGACCAGAAATTGAGGAGGAGAGGAGGAGGAGGAGGAGGAGAAGGAGGAGGACCAGTGTAAACCAAAGACTGATCAACGATGTTGGAATGCACCCTCACTCCAAACTCCGTCTTCATAGGGCCCCGACAAGGTGTTCATTTCAACTGAGAGAATTGCCCCATTTGGGGGACAACCTTTCAAAAATCCTGCAGCGCGGCGAAACACCATTCTCAGGACTTCAACGCCACGAAATGACGATTGCGTCTGGACGATCTTGAATCGTGCCAGAAACTGGGACTTCAACACCGTGAATCACGGTAAAGGTTGAGCCTTGACAGCCCTGAATCGCTCCAAAAAACACACTTTCTGGTAGATTAGCAGCCCGCAATACTCTTGCAAATTGTAGGAACGAACGTGCGCAGCGCTGGAGCGAGAGCTATATCTTGAAAAAATGAGCCGCCCTCCATCCGCGAAGCTCTTTCACGGGTTGAAAACGAATGTGCGCGGCGCCACGCGAGATTCACATATTGAAAAGGAACCGCCCTCAATCCGTGAAACTCTTGCAAATGTCTAAAACTACTGCGCGCGGAAGTTAGGCGAGAGCCACATTGTGAAAAAGACCTGTCCTGAATCCGTGAAACCCTTTCAAATGTTTGAAGCGAGTGGGCGCGGCGCTATGGCGTGAGCCACATTGTGAACACGACCTGTCCTCAAGACATGCAGCTCTTCCAAATGTTCAGAACACATGCGTGCGGCGCTAAGGCGAGCGCCACATGCTGAAAACGACCCGCTAGCAATCCGCGAAACTGCTGCAAGTTTGAAACACATGTGTGCGGCGATGAGGCGAGAACCCCCTTTTGAAAACGGACCGCCCTCCCTCCGTGGAGCTGTTGCCTCAGGGTCATGAATGGCAGCGGAATCCCAAGCGAAACGCCCGGCCCGCCCTTTCGACCGGCCTCGGGGTGCGACGGGGAAGAGTTATGCACAGTTGAGGAAAAGGAGTGGGGGAGTCGGGATCGGGGTTGCACTGACCCTGACTTGCAAATCAATATGCTCGGGCGCACGTCTGTACGGGAGGGAGAGGAGGAGGAGCAGGAGGAGGAGGAGGAGAAGCAGGAGGAGGAGGAACAGGAGGAGTAGGAGAAGCAGGAGGAGGAGGAGAAGCAGGAGGAGGAGGAGAAGGATGAGGAGGAGACCCCAGCCAGCCGAAGAGAAAAACACGCCTCCTCGGCCCCAACCAGACCTCAGCGACTTTCAGGCGCAGCGCCAGAGGTCCTCGCGAAAGCCGGGAAACGTCTGAAAGGCTTGCTGCTCGTTTCGGCGGCGAGCGAGGGGGGAAACGACATTGAGAAGGCCTTCTCAGAAGGCGGCGGGACTTCTCAGAAGCCCTCCGGCCCGCTGAGAGGTCTTTGATATCTTCGGGGGAGGCTTAGTAGAGGCCTCCTAGATGGGGTCGGAATAGATGGGGTCGGAGGATCGCAGCGATACATCGGCGACACATCGCCGATACATCGATGCATCGGCGACGTCGGTGATGCACCAGCGACGCCGGCATGGAGAAAATCGGGCTCCACATCGAACCGCATCGCTGATGCATCGCCGATGCATCGGCGATGCGGCGCGATCCTCCGACCCCATCCACTCGGACCCCATCTAGGAGGCCTACACTTCGACAACGTAGCAGAAGGCCGGGTGGCGTCCGAGCCTCCTGAGAAGGCCTCCTCCTTCTCGCTTCCCCCCCTCGCTCGCCGCCGGTCGTTGGGAAGAGCATTGGCAGGAGGACCCATGAGGCGCTGGGCAGCCGTCAGGGAGCCGGGAAAAAAGAGGAGAAAAGGAGAACCCTGATCTTCCAGGTTGCTGCTGCTGCTGCGAAGCCTCGTGACAAGCACATGAGCAGTTGAGACAAGCTAGCGTGGCGCGCAATACCTCCGCACAGCTGTCTTCCAGCTGTCTGCTGGGATAACGTCTATATTCTCTTTGGGAAAACCGCAATCGTCGCAGACGGCAGCGGCGTGCCTGCCGACTTCTCCGGCCCACGTCTGCCTAGGACGACCTCTCTTCCTAGCGCCGGGCGGCTGTTTTAGTATGCGCGGGGGAGAGGGGCGAGGGGAGGGGGAAGGGGAGGAAAAAATAGCGTCTCGGAGAGGGTGCCCTCCCGCGCATCTTGCTATCTGTCCAAACAAACACAGTTGCCTCTGGAGTAAGACACTGCTCAGCTTCATCCGCCCCGCCAGCTGCAGCACGCTGGCGTTGGTCACCCTGCTCCAGTACGAGTGGCCAATGCCAAGAATGCGCCGGAGGCACCTCACGTGGAACGCGTCCACCTTGGCCAGCTCCTGCTTCTTCAGCCAGGTGGTGTGGAGGCTGTAAAGCAGCTTCGTCTGCACACACGCTTCGAATATCATCAGCTTCCTCCGGGTCGACACCGTGGAACGGGACCACACCCGCCACAATGCTTCGAATTCTGCCTTCGCCTGGCCCAGCCGTCGATTGAGCTCCGGCCCGGCTGAGCCGTCTGCCGAGAGCACGCTGCCCAAGTAGACCAGGTGCTCCTTGCGGGGGATGAGACCACCGTCGGGCTTAGAGATGTCCCCTTCACACCTCGCAGCCAACATCTCCAGCTTGCCCCAATTGAAGACGAGGCCGTAGTTGGACCCAGCGGACTCTATAGCTCTCATGTAGGACTCTGCCTGAAGCGCAGATGCCCCGACAATCAACGTGTCGTCGGCGTAAACAAGGTCACTGATATCTCCGCCAGCATCTCCCAGGCTCCGCCGGGCGTCGCCCAGGAGGACGGTCATCACCATGACGAAGAGGAACGGAGAGAGCGGGCAGCCTTGGCAGATGCCCGCTCCCTGCGCCTGCCTGGAAGACGTCTGCCCCGCGTCTCTCACAGCAAACATTCTGCCACTGTAGATCGAGCCCACGATGTTCAACACCCGCTCTGGGAGCCCAAAGCGTTTCAGGGCCGCGATCATCGCGTCGGGCATGACGCTGTCGAACGCTTTCGCCCAGTCGAGCGCCAGTAGCACGAGCTGTCCATCTCTAGACGCCCAGACTTTTTCCAGGCGCCGCCTCGCCAGGAAGACGGCATCAGCTGTGCCGCTTCTCGACTTGAACCCGAACTGCGTGGGCCAGATGCGATCCTCGGCCCCGGCCTGCTTCAGGCGCTCGAGGACGATGTTGGCGAAGAGCTTATACCCGGCCTGCAGCAGACAGATCGGGCGATAATTCTCGCATTTGGAAGCGTCGCCCTTCTTGAATATGGTCGTGACCAAGGAATCGTGCCACGCCTCGGGGACCGACCCCTCCCGCCAGCATTTCTCGCATAATGCGAGCGCCCATCTCTGCGCCGCGGAGCCCGCCCTGCACGTAGCTTTCCAGAAATCGCCGGGCACCCCGTCAGCGCCGCAAGCTTTGCCCCAGCGCATGCGCTTGGCTGCCGCTGCCACTTCTTCGCTGCTGATGGGGGCGTCGCTCACGTTCAGCTCGTCGCCAAGGGGCTCGCTGGACATAAGCGTTGTGGCGCGGGGGGCCCACTGCACCTTGTTCAGATACTCGGCCATTGTCTCTGCGCGGCGGTCGGAGTCCACCAGCTCTCCACCCCTGCCCCTCAGCCGTCCCTGTTTCGGAGCAAAGCCCTTCCGGAGGCGCTTCAGCTGGTCCCATTGCCCAGTGGCGAGGAGTGTGTCGAGCCACGCTGACCTGTCGTTGCGTACGGAGCGTTTCACTTCTGCGTGCAGCTGTCTCTCCTGATCCACCCTCCCGCTCAGCCTCGCTTCCGTTCTCTGCTGAATCAGGAGGGCTAAAAAATAGCCCCAGACTGACAAACCTATCCCAAAGCTCTTCTACGTCTGGGTTTTGAGATATTTCGTTTGGTTTTTTGTTGGTTTTTAGGCATCCAGTGCTAAAAAAAAGTTCTCTGGAAGGTCAGGGGAGGAGGAGGAGGAGGAGGAGGAGGAGGAGGAGACTTTCCCCGCGACAGCAGCTCATGCGAGTGACTCGCGCCCCGCTGCTCGCCTGGACTCCCTCCCGAGCCTCAGAGGGGGGCTCCACGGCCAAGGCCGGCCCACTGGAGGAGGCGACAGGGCGAAGAGACGGGAGGCCACTCGACTCGCAGACGGCGAGCTGCTGGGTCCGAGAAGGCGCAACCACCTCCCCGGCAAGGCGGAAGAGCAGGAGGAGAACGACGAAGGAGCCGAGGGACACACACACACACAGAAATATACACAGTCCAAGGATTCCCCATATAATCCATATTTCCTGGGTCTTCCCCTCCACTTCATATTTTCAGCATCTGCGAGGGAATCGACGATCAATTATGTCTGCGTTTTTCCCCCCTCCTGAGCCATGGAGCCCTGGTCTCGCCCTGGGGCCGTGTGACTTCCCAATTGTCGCTCGGCTTCGCGCTTTGCCACGCTCTGCTCGCTCTCCCTCTCTCTGCCGCCTCTCTTCCACTCTTAGCCGGTTTTGTTTTGCTGCAATCCTGAGCCTGAAAAGAAGCACGAGGGGCGGGACCAGGGAACGAGACCCCGCCGGAGGAGGGAGAGGAGGAGGAGGAGGAGGGGGAGGGGGAGGATGTCCCTCCTTACGGAGAGGCGGCGGCCGGCGCGGGCGCCGTCTCCATGAGGGCGGCCATCTCCGGCGTGTCCGCCGCGCTGCACACCATCGCGGACTCGCGGGGGCGTGGCGGGGGCTTAGCACGACGAAGGAGAGCAGGCTCCCCTCGATCTTGAAGTCAGAACGCACCCCGAGAGACTGCAGGAACGGGGTGGCCGTGGAGTTGTTCCTCATTGACGGGGCCCTGGTGCCCTCCACGGGGCCCCAGAGCCGTCGAAAACGGCTCAAAATGGAGAGCTGGTCTTGGGAGAAACCCTGCGGTCTGCGCCATGCTTCCCTGAGGCCCCCTTTCCTTCATCGCGACTTGGGTTGGTCGGAAGGGTTCGTGAAGTGCTTGCTGGCTTCTGCTGTCCCTCGATTCGCTCTGGAGCTGCCACGATCTGTTCCAGAGTTGACTGGGCTTGTCTGGCCTGGCATCGCCCTGCGTAGATTTACCTGGATTCATGCACCTTGATCCCCGCAAGTCGATTGGAACATATACGCAATTAAAATGCCGAGGCCCCTGTTGAGTGAGCCCGCGGCATGGTGGAAAGGGCATTGTTCTTAGAAGACTGCGCCGCTTATGGCCTGATCTCCCACTCCACCCCCGGCTTCCTTCTCGGACGGGAGGGGGCTGAGAAACCATTCACCCACCCACCAAGAATCCAAAATTCCTCTCACATGGAGCGAGTTTCGCACTCCGCTCTGCATTGCTGCTTTGAGCATCTGGGCCCCCCTGCACCCTCAGCCCCCCCCCGCCCCTCATCATCACACTCGTACACTCTACTCTCCCGGCGCGGTCGATGCACATGAACCCTGGGAGGGCTTGACTGGCGTGCTGACGAAGGTATGCAGCGATCGGTGAGAGACGAGTGACGCCACGACGTGCTTTACGTTTGGGGGGACATCATTGAAACCCCAAAACCTGGCGAGTGAGCGTCGCGCTGGCCTCGGCGACCACGAAAATGACGAAATCGCGAGATCCCCAAGGTCAGGTTGCCAGTCTCTTTGGGCCCCACGAGGAAAAAAGAATTCTGAGCCCTTCGCCGAACCACCAACGTTCGCGACTCAGGCGCCTTTCTGGCTGTATTCCTTATCCATTAGATCACCGTCCTTGGTTCTCCCACCCCTCCCGCCCCGTCCTGGATCTTCTTGAAATTGCACTCGTACTGGGCGACCATCTCGCGCAGCTGGGTGACCTCCACAAGTTGCAACCCGAAGCGTCTCGACACACGCCGGTCACCGAAAATGCTGGGATCGAATGACGCTGTGTGCAACGAATCTTCTCTGCGAAATCACCGATCCAAGAAAATCGATCGAACCGTTGCAAGCCGTGTGATGCCATATGGCCGATTCCGGAATGCTTGAACACAAAAAATAGTTTTATCTCTTGAGGCTGCATATTTTGACTCCGCCTTCCGACAGCGGAGGCCGCCTTGTGCTTTACTTCCGCCGCCCTCCGCCGATCTTCCGCCGCGTTCCGCCGAGGAAGAGATGACAACTCCCTCGATCCTCGAAGGCAGGGACCTTTCTGGCACGCCCATGCGATGGCTTTCGGGACCCTTGGATCCCAAACCAAATCTCTTATACAGTGCTGGCGCGGCCGCAAGAAACCCAGCCATGAAACCCGCAGGCGCGAGATGCAAGCGGGAGGGAGCCCAGAGCACCCTGAGCGCAGCAGCTCCTTCGACGGCCACGGGAAGCCACCGCGCGGTGCGCGGCGCGAAGAAACCCGGGGTATCCTGACGAAAAGCAGCCAGCCAAACTGCGTTGGAAGCGCATCCCGAACTTCCGCCGTCCACGCCGGGCTTCCGCAGGCGGAGGCGCCCACCGCCTCGCCAGCCTCCCTCAGGGGCGCGCCAAAATGGATTAGCGATCCCTGGATCTGGCGCGCGGTCACCAAATCCATGGATCGGGGGAGGTGCCCTCCCCAACATGCGGCCGGTGCCGCCTCGATCGGCGGCGGGAATCCGCGATTTCCCATGGAAACGGGACCCGTCGCTGACCCTGAGCCCCCTCCGATCCAGGTTTGCGATCGCCTGAGCCTGAGCCTGAGGCCGGCCTCCCGCCGCCCTCCGCTTCGAGGAGGGCAGAGGAGGGTCCCACCCCGCCGTGCCCTGCCCCCTGGGCGCGCCGCCGAGCAAAGGACCCGACGGTGAAGAAGGCTACGGAACTCTCAGGGGCGCGGGCGGCCGAGCCGATGTGGAGCACAGGTGCTATACGATTTACATGTATATTTGTATATAGGTGTGTGTATATACATATATATATATACATATATATATGTGTATATGTGCATATGTCATATATCATATATCATATGTGTATATATATACACATATGTATGTATATATGTGGGCGATTTCGGAAATCTTGAACCCAAAAACGTTTTTCATCTCTTGGGGGCGCATTTGATACGTCCGCCACCTTCCGCCGCCCTTCCGCCGGCTTCCGCCCGCGGAGGCGGCCTCGCTTTACTTCCGCCGACCTTCCGCCGCCTTCCGCCGCGGAAGAGATAACAACTCCTTCTATTCGCAAAGGCAAGGCCCTTTTTTGGAACGCCCCATGTGTATGTATGTATGTATGTATGTATGTATGTATGTATGTATGTATGTATGTATGTATGTATGTATGTATGTATATACATACTTACATATGTATACATCTACAACATATGTGTTACGTTGGGCGAGAGGGGCTGGGAGAAAGACCACCCATCTCTACCCAAACATGATGAGATGATCACCCCCTCCGACAACCTGGAACAAGACAAAGTGCAGTAAACACAGACTGTTGGCGCTCCGCGCGGCCTTCTTGGATCTGCGCTGGACCCCACTCCCTGGCGCGCGGAGCGCGCCAGGGGCGGCGCAGGAGGCGCCGCCGGGAGGGGCCCAGCGCGGATCCAAGAAATCCGCGCAGAGCGCAAAAGGTTTATCTGTATGGCGTTTTTTTTTATTTTTTTTTGATAATCAGCCCCGAGCCGCCCATGCTCTGACCCGACCACACTCGGGGTCGGAAGGAAGCTCGAGGAGCCGCGGGGGGCGGAGGAGAAGCAGCAGCAACAGCAGCAGCAGCAGCAGCAGCAGGGCTGGGGGCCCACAGACTAGCGCCAGCTGCGGACAGCCTGTTCCAGAGGGCGAGGACACACACATCAAGAGACACACATCCCAGGATTCCCCATACTCTCAGGTATCTTTTCTTGATTCTCGTCTTCCCCCCCATGCTTCCTGTATTTTCCAACATTTTCCTAAGAGGTCGACGATGAATTGTGTCTGCGTGTGTCTTCCCTCCTGAACTGGCAGGGTGAAAAAGGATTGTGATTACAGTCAGCCCGTATAATCAGGGCGCACGATAACACGGGCCTTGGAAGGCTGCTATGCCAACATTCTGCGAGCGGGGAGCGGCCAGCGAAAGCGGTCAAAGATGGCCCGAAGGGGAAGGGTGCAAGGGTAACCTTGAAATGTCGCTAATCCTGACTATGCGGGTTGATTGTATGATCCCGCAAGTCATCGGCGACAACGAGCTTCGATGAGCTTCGGCTACAGCAGCGGCGTCGCGTCAGGGTTTTGAAGAGATGATGATCAGGAGGAGCGAGCGAGAGGAGCGATGAGCAGGGTTAGGAAGAGATGATGATCAGGAGAGCGGCTACAGGCGGGATGGCGAGGGGCGAAAGGGGGGAAAGCAACCTGGGAGGAGAAGGGCGTGATCCAACTCAAAGGAGGGGAGGGGGGAAAGGGGGGGTGGGTGGAGGGCAACGCTCCGCGCACGGGCCTCTTGCTGGACCTGGCTGTGCATGGAGAGCAGCCGCAGCACCCCGGCGTGGAAGGAGTCGCCTCCAGGCCCAGGCCAGATCTCGGGCGAGACGGGAGACTCGCATGCCCACCCTTTCTCTTCCTCCTCCTCCTCCTCCTCCTCCTCCTCCACCACCTCCTCATCATCCTGCTCCTGCTCCTGTTCCTCCTCCTCCTCCTCCTCCTCCTCCTCCTCCTCATCCTGCTCCTACTCTTCCTCCTCATCTTGCTCGTGCTCATGCTCCTCCTCCTCATCATCATCATCCTCCTCCTCCTGCTCCTCCTCCTGCTCCTGCTGATCCCCCTCCCCCTCCTCCTCCCCCCCCTCCTTCTTCTCCTCCTCCTCCTCCTCCTCCTCACCCGCCTGCTCCTCCTCCTCTCCTCTCACCCTCCTGCTCTCCTCCTCGTGCTGCAGAGACTGCCAATATTCTCTCACTTGCCCAGCGCTCCATGCACAGCTCATTGAAGCTTCGACTGCAAACTGAACAGAAGGTGGAAAGAACCACCCCGTTGGCGGAACGAGAGGCCGTGTAACACTTCGGCGTCCCTCCCTCCTCTGTCCTCCCCTCTCCATCCTCCTTCCTGCTCCTCCTCAGCATCCTCCCTCCTCCCATGCAAGACGACGAGGACGCGGAAGACGGCGACTGGGAGGAAGACGAGGACACGGAAGACGACGAGGACGGGGGAACGAGGAGGAACAGGATGAACGAGAGAGTGAACCCCCGCGCCCTGACGCCCGAGGGGCTTCCCAATCTCCCACGCCGTCTTTGTAATTGCTTCTCCACCTCCTTCCAGTCTTGCACCCCTTCCTCGCCGACGACGCCGAGACAACGAATACGGTCCGAATGCAGCAGCCTCGACGACGACATCGCCGATGACGACGACCACCGCGACGACGGCGGCGGCGGCGACGGCAACCACGACGAGGAGACGCCCGTCCTAGCGACGACCACGACGACGACCACCACGACGAAGAATCCGCCGACGACAACGAGCGGTCGGCGCCGTGCACGGGTGCCCCCAGCTCGCGACGGTGACGACCACGGCATCGACGACGACGAAGATATCGACGACTACAACCACGACGTCGACGACGCCGCCGGCGACTACGACCGACAACATCGTCGGCATCCACCTCTGGAGGTCCTCGGGGGCTCTCCGCCCTAGAGGCGCCCCGAGGACCCTGCATACCCAGGACAGATTCCAAACTTCTCAAAGGAAGCATCCTCGATCTACTCTGGATCCTCGAGCGATCCTCGTCACTCGCTCGATCCTCGACCCCTAGACCTGTCCTGCGGTACCTTTCTGACACGTGTTCCGAGGCGGACCCAGCAGTGGTGACAAAGAGCCTCCCAGAGGGCGCTCGAAAACCGACATCCTTGATCGATCCTCGTGTTCTCTTTCTCCCCACCCCAAGAGACATACGTCTTCTGTATTCGATTCCGTTCAAAGGCCCTCGGCAACGGTGGTTGACGGCGCACACATTGGGGTGGTCAGAAGGAGGCGGTCTTGTGAGAACGCAAGGGTCTTCTCAGAACGCAAGGGGCTTCTCAGAAGCCATCGGGGCGTTGACGGAGCCCTCTTTGAAGCCTCTGGGCCCTCCTGGCCCCCTGCCTTCTGATCCCCCCCAGAAAACAAAAAATAACACGAATTGTTCGCACCACCGCCGTGTTCGCGCCATCGCGGCATGCTTGCTCTCAGGGCAGCAGAAGTCTTCTCGGAGCGAACAAAGGCAATGTCCTCCGAACATAACGCCGATGACTTGACACAAGACTGTCTCAGCCATAAATGCTCCAAGAACATACTACACGCACCAAACAATCTCTGGGCCTATAAGCAAGGTGAACCAGGACAGTGCGTCACTGCTTGAGATGTTCGAGAATTGAGACACGCCCTTGGATGAACATTGCCAGGGGCACTCCACGGGTACGCGAGGTACCTCATTCCGAGTGCATCTGGGCGGCACATCTTATCCACGTGCAGCAACGACCGGATGTATCCTGCAACACTCGCGCCGATTAGCAAACCTACTGGGGAATGCGCTGACACACTGTGATGGCCAATGTCGAGCGAACCGATGCCATGACTCCTCAATCGACTTGTCTGCGAGGGCGTTCTCTCAATGTCTGGTCACAAGCGGCGAATGTATCCATCTTCACGCCTTCGCGGTCTGGATTCCAGGGCGCGATCCCGCAGATACGAGGACGCACGGATACGTTCCGAGCGGGGCATCCGCGAGAAAACGCCCCGTATCCGCGGGGTCGCTGCCGAGGGGCACGGCACGCGAGGCCACGGATACGACTATGTCTTTCGCCCCCGACCCGACGCGTGCGCGCCTCCAAGTAGGGGAACGAACGATGCCATGAGCATAAACTTTCGGAGGTCCGCGCGGATATGCAACTGCTTCTTCCTCAAACGAAGGACTCGGGTTGGCCTCACGGGGCTGCCAACAAAAATGACGAGATCCAATCGGAAATTTGACGCGACCTCCCGCTGCAAACCTTCCACGAAAACTAGACCGTCAAAATCCGGGGCGGGCCCCTCAAGAAGCGTCAGCAAACCCGAGTTCTGGCGTACTCGAGTCTTACCCTTCCCCAAAATAGTGTCCCCCCACATCCAACCCCACCCGACCCCAGCCCGTGCCCGTCGCACAAGAGTGAAGGAACAGGTCCGCGAGAGGAGCGGGGGGGCGGGCATGCTGGGGGCGAGCGGAACGTTGGGGTCCAGCGCCGATCCACAGAATATGCGCGGACCTACAAAATCTGATGTCTATGTCATTGTTTTGTTCCCAGAGCTCCGTGCCCGGGCAGTGAGGGGCAACGACAGGAGGGGCTACGCACAGGGGGGTAACATCCATATGGAATCGGCGATACATCTCCGACAGATCGGCGATAGGCCACCGATAGTGAATCCACACGTTCTTGGGCTGGTTGGGGCTATCGGGCCCCTATCGGCGATCCATCGGCGATTGGGCGTCGATGCACCCCCCCCATATGCCTCTGTCCCCCCCTATCGTTGCCCCTGACGTTCGAGCAGGCGCCAACTACAGGTTGACCCCAAGATTGACGTGCTCGTCGACCCCACGCAAGACCTGCGCAGCGTGCTCCGTAGCTCTGCGGAGCATGCTGCGCGTGCTTCGTGGGCTCGACTGGGCACCGCTAAAGACCGAGCTTAAGGCCAGCTCCACTCTGCAGCCCAGCTCTCCCGCTGCAGCCGTGCCCCGGCCGCCCCGCCTGCCGCCGACGCCCTCCCGCCGAGCGCGCGCAGCTCCACCTCGCCCGTCTCGGAGGACCAGTCGGGCGCGACGCCCCCGGACTGCCGGCGGACGGGGGGGCGCGGCGAGGATCCAAGAAATCCGCCGGGGCGCGGCGAGGACCAGGGGCGGCGCTGGAGCCGCCGCCAAGGGGGGCCCAGGCGCGGATCCAAGAAATCCGCGCGGGGCGCCAAAAGTTCGTGCTCATGCAGTTTTTTGGTCGCCGAGATCTCGGGCCCCAGGGCCGTCCAACAAAAAATGTCGGACCAGAAAAGAAGTGACACCACCCCACGTGCGACCCCACGGGCCTCAGCATATACCATGACTTCCGGCTTGGGCTTTTGCGTGGTATACGCTTCGGCCCCCGATAGGCCGTAGCGCAACGTGGCAGGCCGTAGGTGGGCTGGTGTCGATTGTTTGTTGTCGAAACTTGGGATGGAGAGCTGGCAAGTCGGGCTGAGATAGCGAAATGATCGCCCGCATCATACGCACCCATGCAAGCGAAACTCTCGACTGGACCCACCCGTGACGGAACCGAGCAGGGCAAAGATGCTTCGCAACCGCCCATGGTTTTATAGGAGACGCCGGAAATAAGGGTCGGGCTGTCTTTTCCTCTCTTGACGGGAGGTCTGCAGGCCCGCGCCTCGAATAAAGTCGAACCGCCCAGTGTATGGGCACCTGCAGAGCCCATGTTTCAGGACACCAAGGGGGCGGAGCGCCCGAGACTGGAGTTTGCACGTACATGTCCACCGCCTGTGGATTCGATGTCCCAGGACCCCAAGGAAGGGGCGACGCTGGCAAAATCAATCAATATATGAGCATCGGGCCGCACCGGATCCTCGCAGAGATCCGAGCAGACTTCTATGATCGGCATCGGATCCCCTCCCTGGCGCGCGGAGCGGGCCAGGGGCGGCGCTGGAGGCGCCGCTAGGGGGCCCACAGCGCGGATCTGAGAAGCCCTCGCAGACCTCGGAACTTTTATGTTCATGCCATGACCTTTTCCCCGAGATCCTCGGGATGTTTTCTTTTTTCTTCCGTCAGTTCACGCTGGCCTTGTTAGGTCTGACTGGGAAGGCGGTCGCCCCGAGCAGTGCGAGTTCCTAGGTGGCCCAGGCTCGGCTCCCGTGCGGTCGGAAGCACCCATCTGCCACGAGGCGTGCCAGGGGCGCGGTCAGGCAGCGCCTCCAGGGGAAGGGGCCGAGCCTGAGCCAACCTGCGGGAGAGAAAAACACTCCGGCCCCAGAGCGCAGCGAGTCTCGGGTGGCGGCGCGCCGTGACTCTGAGCCGCGCTTCAAAGACCTGGGACGGCGTAGCACGGCGCGAGAGGCGACGGGCCTTCAAAGCAGCTAGACAAGCATCGATCCAAGCAGCGCGCTTTAGAAGGGCCGAAAGGTCAGAAAACTACATCAGGCAGGATGGAAGCCAATGAACTCTCACTGGATTGGAATGTGCACAAGTCTCTTCCTGTAACCACCGTCGGAGAAGAGTTTATAGATGGGGGCATCGCATGTAATGGTAAATGGAATCAAGGTCTGTCATGTCCTCCGAAGTGCCGCCAAACAACCATCCCATAGGTTGAAAACGAGAGCGCGCCGAAATACAAATGGACCAAGTTAACATTCGCAGGGGCGCGAGCCCCACGTACATCGAGGTAGCCTCGCACACGGACTTAATCGACTTGCACATGCTGTCAATATGGCGAGAGCTGGCGGCAGGGTAAAGCTTATGGGCACGTGTCAACATGGTAGCACGAACGGGTTCGGAAACTTGATGGCACGGACCTCAAGGTACAGTTTCTGTTGGAGCCTCGGGATAGTAATTAGCCTGGAGCTCCGTAGGGATCGCCAGAAACTACCGCCGCATCTTCCTCGCAAAGCCCAGGAGTCCACATTCCACCCAGAATGCCACCGAAAGGGGATGTGCTCCAGGTCGCTCCTCGCCTCCTCCAGAGAATCCACGACACCCAAAACAAAGCCCGAACGAAAAAGATAACGGATATGCGTGGCCCAAGACACCGCTTGAATATCAACGAACTCAATACGAAACCCAAGATCCTTGAGTTTGGTGGGTATATTGTCTGAAATCGCATTCCGCGGCCCCGAGGTCAGTCGCATTACGCTCTCACGGAGCTGATGCACAAGATGAGCACCCGGTGGACACAGCTGCAGACGAAACAACAGCTTCGAAAGGCACATCACTCGAAATGCTGTCGCACTCTGAGCGACACCTGCACCGAGCTGGCGAGGTTGGTTAACGCGTCCCAATAAGCCAGGAATGATCGGCTGCCGAACGTTCTCAGCCGCCTTGGGGGCGGGGGGTCGAACCGCCCGGGAACCCATATGGAATTGGACCAGTCGAAGCGACATGGAGTCTGCATGGGCGGCGGATGTGGGTATGTATGGGCGTCCAGCGGGCCCGACGTCCAGGGAGAGGTACACTCCTCAGGAGGCCCGGCCTCGGAATGTGGCTCCTCGTCGTCGTGGTGGCCAGGGAGAGGGAGTCGACCCTCGCATACCGGTCCTCGCACCTCGATCCCCCCGGTCCCCCAGTCCTTCCTCCGACGTCCTCCTCCTCCTCCTCCTCCTCCTCCTCCTCCTCCTCCTCCTCCCCCTTCCTCCTACCGCCTCCCTTCTCAGCCTTCTTCTTCATTTTCCTCCTCCTCCTCCTCCACCTCCTCCTCCTCCGCCTCCTCCTCCTCCTCCCATCCAACACCTCCCTTCTGAGCCTCCGTTTTCTTCTTCTTCTTCTTTTTCTTCTCCTCCTCCTCCTCCTCCTCCTCCTCCTCCTCCTCCTCCTCCTCCTCCTCCTCCTCCTCTTTCATCCATCTCCTCCATCTTCTCCATCTCCTCCATCTCCTCCCCCTCCCTCCGTCTCCTCCGCCTCCTCCGTCTCCTCCTTCTCCCCCTCCTCCTCCTGCTCCTCCTCCTCCTCCTCCTCCGCCTCCTCCTCCTCCTCCCCCTTCCTCCGACTACTACTCCGACTACTACTACGACTACTACTACGTCTACTACTACTGCGACTACTGCTACTACTGTTTCTACTACTACTGCTACTACTACCACTACTACTACAACTACAACTAATACAACTACTGCGGCTACGACTACGACTACTACGACTACTACCACCAAAGCTACTCCTACTACTACGACTACTACTGATACGACTTCTACTGCTACTACTACTACGACTTCTACTGCTAATACGACTACTACTACTACTACTACTACTACTACTACTACTACTACTACTACTACTACTACTACTACTACTACTACTACTACTACTTACTACTACTACTACTACTACTACTACTACTACTACTACTACTACTACTACTACTACTACTACTACTACTACTACTACTACTACTACTACTACTACTACTACTACTACTACTACTACTACTACTACTACTACTACTACTACTACTACTACTACTACTACTACTACTACTACTACTACTACTACTACTACTACTACTACTACTACTACTACTACTACTACTACTACTACTACTACTACTACTACTACTACTACTACTACTACTACTACTACTACTACTACTACTACTACTACTACTACTACTACTACTACTACTACTACTACTACTACTACTACTACTACTACTACTACTACTACTACTACTACAACTACTACTACTACAAAAACTACTACTACTACTACTACTACTACTACTACTACTACTACTACGACTACTACTTAACAACTTACTACCACTAACTACTACTAACTACTAACCACGAGCTACTGCTCACACTTAAGCTACAGCTACTATTGCTACGGCTCACTC